ATGCAACGGGGAGGGGGCTGGGCCGCCGCTCCACCCGCTGCTGCTGCCACCTGCCGCTCACAGCTGCATATGTGCGTTGGGTGCGCGCGGTTGCAGGGACCTCATCAAGCAGGTCCGCCAGTGCAAAACAGCAGCAGAGGAGCGCGATGTGGTTGCCAAAGAGAGTGCCGCGCTGAGGCAGGCATTCAAGGAGCAGGACGGCACCTACCGTCACAGGCAAGGCGCAATCGCTGGGCAGCAGAGGACAATTGCAGTCCTCGAATGTGCTGACGCCAGCCGCCCACACGCCGCTGCCTGCCCTTCACCTGCAGGAATGTGGGTAAGGTGATGTATATCCACATGCTGGGCTACCCCTCCCACTTTGGCCAGATGGAGACGCTCAAGCTCATCGCCTCAAATGGCTTCCCCGAGAAGGTGGGCAGGCCCTGGGTTGCTTGTGCCCGGGCGCACCCGCATCAGCATCAAGGTTGGGTGGCTGGTGGGCAGGGTGGTGGGTGGCGGGCAGGATGGTGGGTGGCGGAAGGGGCGAGGCAGGCTCGCCACAGCGCACGCAGAGGAGCGGCGCGCCGCGGCCGCGGCAGCAAGCAGGCAGGCGGCGGCGCCGGCGCGCGGGGCCAGGAAACTCTGCCGCGGCGCCGACGGCAGCGCCCCGGGCGCCCCAGGCAGCACCGCCACGGGCTACAGGCGGTATAGCCTGCACAGGCGCTACAGCCTCACCCGCGGTGGACAGGTACTCTGTGGAGGAGAGGACGGCGTTGTGGGTGCCGCCGATGCCCGAGCCAAAGCCCTGGAACAGGGAGTCGACCATGTCGCGCCCGCGTGCAATGTCTTGCTGCGCGGGAGGAAAGGAGGGGAGATGAAGGGGTCAGGTGGCTGGGCTGGTGGCGGCGGGGGTGCGATGTGCGTGGACGCGGGCGAGGCAGGAAGGAGAGGGGAGGGGAGCGGGCAGGGGCCGGGAGCAGGCTCGGCTGCCGGCCGGCCGCGCCGCCGGACCGCCGCGCCGCTGGACCGCCGCGCCGCCGGGGGCGCACGCGCAGGCAGCGTTGCGGCGGCGGGTCCCTGCTTCACTGCACATCTTACGCACCAGGGTGGTTGGCATGCGGGCCCCTGTTCCACTGCATCGCCACGGCAGCGCACCTGGTCGTCTGACACGTCGTTGCCGGCGTCCATCGCCTT